GGCTACCCAAAAGCTCTAGTCCACTTTACTGACCGAGCAGTAACATTTCATTAAAATACACAGTTTTTTTTAATGATAAAAATCACAACAAATAGGCACTCGTTGAAATGTTTTGGATCCTATCACCCACCCACACACCCCGAATAAAATGTAAACAGCTATTTGTGTCTCTGGCAAGGCTCAGTCTGAGGCGTTCTCCTCTTTCTGTGAGAGGAGCAAAGCTCTGCAAGTCACTAACAGATTTCCGAACAATCTTTCATTTCTTTAATTTTTAGAGTTTTGCTTTTGTAGGGTCTGATCCTATGACATGCTACATAGATTGTAAATTTTTTTGGTTCTGTGTTTGTACAGTGCCTTGCACTGTGTGGTTCTAGGCATGACTAGGGCTCCAAGAAGATACGGTAATACAAATAATTAAATAACAAGTAAGTGTTGAATGCCCACAGAATTCAATTGCACTTAGCGTCACACAAGGTTAGGTCCATACTGAACACTAATATAATAGGGCCAGATTCTGGAGCACTGAAAAAGATGGGGGATGAGTGGGCAGGATCCAGACAAAGCACTCCCGTGGGTGGTTGGCTGGGGAGCAGCCAGGGCATCCACCAAATGTGCCAAGTCTCAAGAGTGTGCTTTGCTGTGTTGGGAACATGTTCATGCCCCCTCCCATTACACATACACTGTTTTCAGCAGCAGGCTCCAGATGGAAGAGCACTCTGCCTCTTTTTAAAGGAGCAGCAAGATGTGGAACAGAGTCCATTCCCCTTAGGCCCTCCTGAGCATAACACCCTTTCCTGGATCACCTTCACAACCAACCCCACTCTACACCCACCATGCCCCTGTAGGGTTCGTACAGCACAAAAAGGGTTTTGCCTTTAATGTGTTTGGGTTCCTAAGTAAGGGCCCAATCCAATTCCCACTGAAGTCAATGAGCATAGGATTTGTAGCCTGATCTATCAATTATGTATTAATTATACTGATTACTTAAGAATCCCCAGTTATCACTTTGAGGGTTGTCAGGTCCTTGTCCCAAGATCAGGCCCAGTATTATTCAAATTATTATATAACTGGGAACCCCGATGTGCACAGCTGCAACACTCACACTATAGGAACTCTTCTATATTCACAAATAGTTTATTAATACATTTAGCACAGTCACAAACACTCTAACTCAGTTAGGTAAATAGAGCGACTTCAGAATGTACATCTTTCCATCCGTATTCTAGCACCATCCCTTGCAAGACAACCGGAAAGGTTAGCCATTATCTTCCTCATCACCATTACCTTCCGCCACATCACCAGTGGTCATCATTCTGGCACCTCCCGAGGGCTACATCTCTCTCTCCTACTGCCCACAGGCTGGGATGCAACTTTGATAATATGTTATGCTGACACCACTATATATAATGTATATTCAGTAGGGGGTTTTCCTCTTTTCCTTATTTGTATTTCCTCATCCTACTAATGCTGAGGTGTCCTTCTTCTATAGTTTAGTACATTGATATGTGTGACTAACATTTCAGCTCATGATCATACCTGTCTGCTCCTGCTGAAGCAGATTTGCAGTTATTACGTCCCATGTTCCTTGCAGTCTCACTTACAGGAACATTCTACCTCCTACCACTGAGCAAGCTCTTCTTAGTTCCCAAAATCTAAAGGTAACTGTTAATCAATGCCAAGGGTTACAGCCTACTTAATCACACTTATGCTAATTTATGCTTCACTAATATCTTACAGGATACAGGCCTGTAGGTTTCATGCATTACGGCTGAATATAATAAAAGCAGTTAAATATAATGAAGGCAAGGCAGTGATATAGTAAAGGCAAGCTAGCCCTGTGGGCTACAAATTGGGCCATAAAAAGGTGCTCAAGAAAACAACTTGAGTAACTTGTGACAAATGCGAGGCCACGAAACTATAAAAAGCTATTTTATTTACTTTAGAAATAAGAGACCCTAGAAGTCTTCTTTAGTTAACTTGGGGACTGATCCTGCTCCCATTCAGGTCAATGTCAATGGGTAATCAGGTCCCAGGCCTGAAAGGTGCTGAGTTTCCACCTCACAGAAAGTGTTCAGGCCCTCAGTCCTTACTCATGTAAAATTCCCATTGAAATGAACAAACCAGATCCTGAGAAATGTTGAGCACCCATTATGCACAGAAGGACTGTAGTCATATCAGCATTTGGCCCATCATGTGTGTCTGGTAACTGGTAGATGCTATTCTTATATGGAGCTCATCCCCATGGTGTCTGAGCACCTAACAAGTTATTTTGGATACTTCTTCCAATATAGGAACTGTTTGCACAAGTAATACATAATAAGTGTGTATCACAGGCTCAAAAGATGCTAGATGCTTTTCAAATACATAAGACACATTCCTGCCCCCAAAAGCTTCCAATGTACAAAGAAACAAAGAGCAAATGATGGGTGGAGGAAAATGATATGATATACAAAGTGATCAGTGTGATGGCTAGTACATGGGTTAGTTTTACGGGGGAGGGAATTCTTGTAGGAGAAGGGGTTCTGAGATTTTGTTGATTTTTGAATGCCTACAAAACCAAGTACAGTTACAATGCTGTGAAAATAGGATTTTAAAGAGTGGTATAAATGAGGCAGAGTGGAGAATAGACAAATAGATTTTGGAAGTTCATTCCAATCATATAGGATTGCCTAGAACCAAAGTGGGTCACGACCCCTTTTTAATGGGGTTGCCAGGACTGGCATTAGACTTGCTGGGGCCTGGGGCTGAAGCCAAAGCTCAAGCCCTGCCACCCGGGGCCAAAGCTGAATCCTGAGGGCTTCAGCTCTGGGTGGTGGGGCTCAGGTTACAGGCCGCCTGCATGGGCCTGAAGCCCTGGGGCTCAGGCTTCAGTCCACCCTCCCGGGGTCATGTAGTAATTTTTGTTGTCAGAAGGGGGTCATGGTGCAATGAAGTTCGAGAACCCCTGGCCTAGAAGAAAATGGAAGTGATTGTGAGAGAAGGCTGCACATGGACTTCTCAAGTCTCTTCTCTCAAAAGTCTCTTAAGGGGGTCATGGTGCAATGAAGTTCGAGAACCCCTGGCCTAGAAGAAAATGGAAGTGATTGTGAGAGAAGGCTGCACATGGACTTCTCAAGTCTCTTCTCTCAAAAGTCTCTTGTCTTAAAATCAGAAAACAACAAATTAATCAATTATAAAATACAGAGCAAGAGATACAGGTTGTAACCTGCATCAAAGAGGTCTTCCCAAAGCTAATATATACCTAATGCATTCTCTATCAGTTGTCATAAGCTTTCCTAAGTCACATACCCAGTTCGAACCAGCTGCCCTACTGAACTGGAAAAACGCCACATTATCTAGAGCTTAGTTTTTCAAGTAGTTCAACCTTGATACTTTAAACAAAGCAAAATGGAAAAACAATGTCCTGTTTCATATGACGAACATCATGAAAAGAACAATCTAAGTTAAATGAGTAGGAGGGGAGGTTTAGCAGTAAGTCAGTATTATACCACTACACAAAAACTCATCTCAATAATGAACCTGATTTTGCACTCCTAACTTAATCAAAACTCCCATGAACTACAGTGGGAGACTTGTCCAATGGCAGGATCAGAGCCTTAAGCTCAATGGCTCTACTCATGTGAGTAAACACTATTTGTATGCTAAGAGTTGGCAGGCTCAGGCCACGGATCCACAATCTACACAGACTTGAGGACTTTACTTGTCTCTGATAAAACAACCAACTCCAGCAATGACTCCTCAGGCTTCCTGCACAGACATTTTGTACACTATGCTTTACAGCATTTTTTAAAACCAGTGATATCCCATATCCACACTGCTTTGCAACCGCATCCATGCAACATTCTAAAACATTGATTTTAGTGGGACACTGTCAACTTAAAAATCATATGTTGCAAACAAATGTATTTGTCTATGATACTAATAACATCTTACATTATTTTAAAATGCAAGAATTTTAGAAATCCAGCATGCGCGTCAGTCTTTATCTGTCCTTTTTGCAGTTCTCTCATTTTGGACAAGTGAAATCAGTTTCACTTTCAAGTCCTTAGTGATACTGTGGCTGGATTTCATACACTACAGGTGGATGTTTACTTGTTTTTAAAACTACTGTTTTAATGGACTTTTTTAAAATGTGCAAACATTTCTATTGGGACTTTGATTTTTTAAAAGCTTGTTTATAACTACATTTAACATTTTGGGCTAGATTTACACTGACATTGTCCCTTTAAGCACTTTGATCCTTAAAATCTATCATAATTAGTCCTTGTTCCATCTCGTTTCACCAGCTTTCATAAAATAGTTTTCAATATGTGTATTCAAGAGAATGTATTTGTACAAAGACAAAAGAAAGCCTTTTAAATAAAACAGCCTCTCATTTTAGAAATCTTGATGATAGCAAAAAAAAAAGGCATATTTTTAGCCCATAATGAGATCTTGGTAATTTTCTCCTTGTTCAGAACAAGTTCCAATGAGCATTATGCCAACAATGATAAAGCAAAACAGTGGCATAATATGCATCTTCTATGAGAAACTCCCACACCCCTTTCAGGGTTTTTAGCCTTTAAAATTATGTTAACTCACATGTGCACTGGCTGGATGACTTTATATTCTCTTCTACAGGGCCAGTCTCCCTGAATCCAGGCTCTCTACGAATACCCTAGTTACCAGCCCCAAGACAAAGCCAATTCCATTCAGCACCTTTCTCCCTGTTTTTCAGAGCTCTCCATGTATCCTCACCACTGCAATCGACTGCTCTTGCAAGGGATTGTTTTGCACGCGTGTGTTCTGGTGGCAACCTACCAAAGCTTCCAACTAGATCAGCTGGACTTTCCAGGCTGCAGGACACAAGAGTGGGGCACCTCTTGGACCTTCGATCAAACCTCCACCAGTTATTAGAAGAGCAACACAAAAGAAAACCACAACGGAATGACAACACAACCCATCTTCTCCCCCCTGCCCTGCCCCCGCGGAATACAACCACGATAATCCCAGGTACTCACACGAAGGCATGATACAGCAGCGCCCAACCTCTGGGTCTCTCCAGGGCATCATAGATTAAAGTTTGGATCCTCCTGTACTTGGCATTGTTCCTCTTGACAGGTCTGCTCAGAGGTGTTTTGGCCAAAAGCCCAATCCCTTGCGGATTCCTCTTCCCCCCCTCTTCCTTCCCAGCTCCTTCCAGCAGCAGGGTCCCATCTTTATCCGCTCCAGCTCCCGAGGCCAAAGAACCTTGCTCCAGATCCCCAGACGCGAGTCCTACTTTCTTCTCGTCTTGCTCCCGGCCACCGGCGCTCCCCGCAGCTGCTGCCTTCCTGGACTTGAGTCCCATCTTTCCCGCTGGTCCTTAAAGGCGCAGCTGGAGGTAAGCAGCAGCAGCTTGCGGAGCCCCAATGCCATGATCCGAGCTCCCCTCCAAAAAAAAAGAAAAAAAAAAAAGAAAGAAAAAAAAAGCCGGGTGGGGGGAGGGAATCACAGCGCTGTCAGGCCATCATCCCTGGAGAGGAGCCGCAGCCGGGGCTAAAGCAAAGACATGATGGCAGGAGAGAGGCGGGCGGCAGCAGCCCCTGGCCCAGCAGGGGGGTGACACCATCGCGGAGTTTAACGACTAGCCAGAGGCCGGAGTCCCGTCTCCTCCCTTCCCCTCCCCTCCAGCGCCTGCCCGATGCCTGCGAGCACCCCCCCCCCCCCGCCCCCCAAGCCTCACGCTAGGGAGTGGCCCATTGTATGTCCCCAGCAAATAGCAGCGCGCCTCTGTGTCCCCGCAACCCCCAGCCCCGGCGTGTCGAGTCATTCATTGTGCACCGGGCATGGAGCCTGCCGGCGGCGGGTGCTGCGTGCCTGGCAGTTTCGCCCCACCCTTTGCAAAGCGAGCCCTAAATGCCCAGGCAAAGGCCGGGCTCGGGGTGCTCACAGCGGCTGGGCAGGGAGATCCCCGCGCCCGCCACGGGGAAGACCCCGCTTGGGATCCCCCAGCAGCGTCAGCCGCCCCCCGCTGCAGCCGCGGCGCGGGGGATTCCGCCCGCCCCACCCCGGGCTGCCCACCGCGGGCGGGACGCGGCTGGCTGGGCAGGGTCTGGCGCTGCGGCCGGGGCCGGGGGGCGCAGGGCGGCGAGGGGAGGATGGGAAGGAAGGATGGCGGGAGAGGAGGGGCCCGGGCGCGGCCTGCCTCCCGCAGAGGCTGCTTGGGGGCGGTGAACCCAGCCCCGCAGCCGCCGCCCTCCGGATCGCCCCGCGGCAGGGAGGCGGCTAAACAAGCAGCGGCCCTAGCGCCAGGGGCCGGTCCCGCTTCTGACCCCGTAGCCGGTGCCTGCCCGAGCCCACAGCCGGTTCTGTCCCTGGAGAGGAGGTGCCTGCCCCCCTCCAATCCCACCACCCCGGGCCAGACCTGGTTCTGTCTCTGTACCAGGAGCTGCCTGCCCAACCCCAATTCCCCCCGCCGCCCCATCCCAGGCCAGACCCGGTTCTGTCTCTGTACCAGGAGCTGCCTGCCCCCCTCCAATCTCACCACCCCGGGCGGGACCCGGTTCTGTCTCTCTATGAGGAGGTGTCTGCCCCCCAATAATCCCAATCCCCCCATCACAAGCCAAAACCAGTTCTGTCTCTGTACGAGGAGGTGCCTGCCCAACCCCAATTCCCCCCATCCAAGGCCAGACCCGGTTCTGTCCCTATAGGAAGAAGTGTCTGCCCCCCTCTAATCCCACCTCCCAGGCCGGACCCTGTTCTGTCTCTGTATGAGGAGGTGCCTGCCCACCCCCAGTTCCCCCCCATCCCAGGCCAGATCCGGTTCTGTCCCTGTACCAGGAGGTGCCTGCCCCCCTCCAATCCCACCACCCCGGGCCAGACCCGGTTCTGTCTCTGTATGAGGAGGTGCCTGCCCCCCACCCCCTCAAATCTCCCCACACCCAGGCCAGACCTGGTTCTGTGTCTGTAGGAGGTTGTGCCTGCCCCCTCCCCCAGACCCAGTTCTAGGGTCTCCATATATGATTTCCCCCTAAAGGTGTTCTGTCCAGCCACATACTGCTTCTACCAAGCCAGACTTGGCTCTGGCCTAGGAAGTGCTTCCACTGCCCTAATGCCTGTTTTGCATCAAGGTGCGCTTCTAAATCCTAATCTCAGGATTAGCTAAACCTGTACAGTGTACATAGGCCACACTGTCAAAACCCTAAGTGCTAAATCTGAATGTACATCACATCCTTACATAGGAAGTGGAGAAAAATGAACAGTGCATCACAATTTCAAATTGCGACAGCGAATGTTCAAACCCAGATGCAGACTAAGGGGCGCTAATTTATCTTTCCCTGCCAAATAGGGTGACCAGACATCCCGATACTATTGGGGACCATCCTGATATTAGGGGTTTTGTCTTATGTAAGCATCTATAACCACAACCACCCCGAAAAAAAGTGTAATCTTGCTATCCACTCACCCTACTGTCAAAGGGATGTAAAAATGTCAAATAGCAATGGATGATAGTCAAGTGTACCAGCTCCTTCGGCTTTTCTACCCAATACAATAGGGAGAGAAATTAATAATTTCGTTTCAGTTACAACTGCTCAAGCAGTTTAAGCCCTAAACCTGACCAGCACTAACTTCCAGATTCTCATTATCCAGTTTAAAAAACCATCACTATGTTCATAAAAATGTTTAGAATTGCCCTGCTGCATGCATGTACACATGGAGTCGTTACGGTGTGGGAACTGCCACAAACACTCATTTGTGCTCACTGCGAAGCAGTTAAGTAGCAAAGAGGGTAATCCTCTGATTTCAGCAGGCTTTGTATCAGGCCCAACGGGACTGTGCTGTTCTTCTGATGGTGCTGATGCAAAAGGTCTGATCCTTCAGTATATCTTCTGGCAAAACTCGTTTGATGTCGGGGGAAGTTTGCCTGATGGAGCACTCCAGGGTAAGCGCTATTATGTGTTTTGGCCCGATGAGGCATTATGCTCCATCGTTATTATTTATTATATGTTTCTGGCAGCACTTAACGCATGCTAGCGTAACAGCTAGCACTTTGGCTGACAACGGAGATTTTCAGAATCAAATACATATGTTTCTACAGCTGAAGCTACAGAGCCAGGCTTTGTAGCTGGGGGACTGTAACAGATTCATGTTCTCTGTGGATTAGGCACAGAGAGGGACATGTGCCATGCACTGACCAGTGGGTTACACCATGCTCTTTCCAAACAGAAATAAGGATTGTAAGGAGCTTACATTCTAAAGTCAGACTGAGGAACAGTCAGAGGTTAAGGGAAAGGCATATGACTTAAGTAGGTCGAGATGATGCTTGGCTGCATCTTGGGCTAGTCATTACAAATCTTCCAGATTCCTTGTGGTTAGCCTGGCAGAAGTGGGTTTTGAAGAGGGACTTGACTACAGAGAAGCACTGTATTATCAATGATCTGAAAGAAAAGATAAAATCATTTGCTGGTAAAGTTTGCAGAGTACACACAGTTTGGTGGAGTGGTAAGTAACAGTGAGGACAAATCAACCGTAGAGCACTCTGGATCACTTGGAAAACTGTACACAAACAAACAACATGCATTTTAGTAGAGTCAAATGAAAGGCCATACATTTAGGAACACAGAATGCAGGTCATGCTTACAGGATGGGGGACTGCACCTTGAAAAAACAGTAACTCGGTGTTGTATTAACCAGGCAAGGTACTAACAAGCTTCAACAGGACTTTATCTTCAAAGTGGAAACCTCTTTACTCAGCTGCTGCTGCACCCTCGGTAGCTCTCTCCCAGCCTCTCAACTCCTCCCCCCTCCTTCCTGTTTCTTGTCCTTTCAGACTCCCAACAGCCAGTGCTCCCAATTCTAATAATTACAAGCAACATCTAAACACCACATTCCCTCCTCTCTTAAGAAACTCTCCCAATTAAAATAAACATTATTGTTTTAACCACAGGAACAAATACGAAACAAGACACTATACTGTTGGGAGAAATATTACACTGTAGATACTACATAACATAGTCTCTAGTCCAGACAGGAGGTCGTCTGGGTCTGACAAGCCATCTCTCAAGCCCCGGTTCCAGTGCAATGTCTTGTTGTGTTGCTACTACGGTGAAGTCATCCAATGCAGACTGGGTGTTGGCATAATCTCCTCTTGGTGCACAGGCAGGTGCAAGATAAGAAGCATTCCATACCCGCCCATCAGAAAGTCGATAGCTGTAATGTCCCTTCTTCTCTATGATTTTAAGAGGAGCTGTGAATTTATGGTCCCCTTTGCATAAAATTCCATGTTTTCGTATTCTAATGAAGGAACCACACTCAAACTTTGGTTCCTTAGCACCCCGCCGCTCGTCTGTGAAAGCTTTAGACTTTGCTTCTGTTCAACTGTTTTTCTCACATCATCTTCGTTTGGGGCATCAGGTCATGCCTTTAAAAATCCAGCAATGTTCAGTTAAGTTTCCCATGTAGTAACTCTGCGGGCGATCGTGTAGCCTGGTATGCTTGCAAGAAATCAGCAGTGAAGGTTATCCACAATCGCCCTTCCAGTTTAGCCGTTTGCAAACTCTCTTTCAAACTTCTGTTAAACCGTTCGATTTCCCCATTGGCTTGAGGGTAATATAGGGATAACCTTCTGTGTAAAATGTTCCTCTGTGCTAGAAAAGTTTCAAACTCCAGGGAAGTAAATTGACTACCATTATCTGAAACCAGTTCTTTGGGGTTACCTTCCCTACTAAAAACTGAAGAGAGGAACTTAATTACTGTAGCAGAAGAGATTTGCAATGTAAACGCTATCTCAGGCCATTTACTGAAATAGTCTATTAAAGTGATGGCATAACGGCAGTCACTTGGAGCAGTATCAAAGGGTCCTACAATGTCAATCACCACTTTTTCCCATGCAGATTCAGGAAGAGGAACAGGCTGTAATGGAGGGGCACACATCACTGCTGTCTTATCATGCATTTGGCAAGTCACACAGGATTTTAGGCCAGCCTGTGAAATTGTATGCCCCAGAAAGGAGAGTTCAGTTTGTCTAAATTTGCATTTGAACCTATTGAGCTGGAGGCCTGCTGTGCTGATGCAGTTTAGTACAGACTGCAGTTTATTGTCATGCTCCTAAGAAGTATTTCCAAACACAATAATATCATCCAGATAGCACTGAACTCCATGTTGATTCTTCAGAATCAATTACATCATTTTTTGGAAGGCACTTGGGGCAGATGCGAGACCGTATGGAACACGTTTAAAACGAAATAGTCCCTCATGTGTAATAAATGCTGTGGTGTCTCTGCTATCTTCATGCAACATAACCTGGTGGTATGCAGTCTGCAAATCAAGAGTAGAAAACATCTTTGCTCCACGGCGTTCTGCAAATGCTTCTTGTATGTGAGGAAGAGAATGGCTGTCAATCACAATAGCTTTATTTGGCTCCCTTAAGTCCACACAAAGGCGAATGCCTCCATCCTTCTTCTGCATCCCTACTATAGGTGAAACCCATTCTGAGGAGTCCATCTCTTCAATAATGTCCTCTTGAACAAGTTTTCTAAGTTCCTCTGAAACAACTTCCCTGACTGAAAATGGTAAGTGCCGTAACTTCTGTCGTACAGGCATCACATTATTCCGCATTTTAACTTTATGCAGAAACCCATAAGCACAGCCGAGTTTCTCCTCCACCTGGTGTTGGGTCCCAGCTGAAACTGGTGTG